CGTCGAGTACAGTTTGAAGGGATCTCGGTGTCGTCCACGAAGGATGCTACATCTTCTGGAAAGGAAGACTCGATCGAATTAACTGAAGTACAGCAATTAAAGCGTCTTCCCTTTTCTCTCTCTCGGTTATTCGATTTACGGAGCATCGGACTCGGTCGTCGTCAGCGTCGCTTGTTACTCATTAGTCAAGATTAAGACAAGACGGGTACCGTGTAATGAGGAGCACGAAGACGCCGCGGAAGACGGAAAGTACGAGCGATTACGTCCCTTACGAGAAGATTGGTGCCGCGCTGGAGGAAGTATGACGGTTCGCCAATGTCAGACAACCAGGAAACCACACCGGCGGCGAATCAATAGAAGTGGCGGCACACGAGGAAACCCCACCGCCGCAAAATTGAGTCTGCTCCTATCGTCCTGGCCAGGTACTCACCAGTGCCATCGATATTCGTTTAACGCGTCGTTTCCTTGCTGGCGGAGCGACAAACAATGGTCTGGCGAGAAATATAAAATTTAGAAAGTAGAGGGAAGTGTATCGCATCTCCTGAGAAAGAACAATGAGGAGAAAGATAAAACGGGAGGAAAGAATCTTCAGCCATTCTGTCGCGCCTCTCTCTGGCAAAGTCTCGAGTTTTCCTCAATGGGGTAATGCATTTTTCATGGTCGATGATAATCTGGCATTAATACCTCTTACCGTCCTGGAATTATTAAGGCTTGAAATTCTCAACCACTTTACTTAAACCACGTAAATAGATTACGAAATCTAATCGTTATATTCTGCGGTATACAAGGGTCTGCATAATAATAATCTAGGTAGCAACAATATATATCCAACGTTATAAATAACGTTAAATGTGGATAATATTATATCGAATATTAAATGTATGCCAACTACGAAAAACTATATGATTAAAATATGTTCCTTCTGTTTTTGAAGTAAATATTAAGTTGTCCGTGCCAAAACGATTTGGCACGTTGCGTTCTCATAATATACGGACAATTTGCAATCTTCAACATAAAATAACTAGATATATTTTATTAGTTAAATTAATTAAAAATTTCAAAAAGACAGTGAGCGTTATATAAATAACAGAAATTCACGTTCTATCGAGATAGAATTTATCTATAACAATAACAATTTCCCGTAGGTTTTGTGTCGCGTGAAAAACGCAGGATTAATATATCCGTAAAAAGACGTATTGATCAGCAGACGCGCACGCCGCGGATACCGCAACGGCAGGGACTCGCGGGGAAAAACCGTATTTCGTTAAGATCGACAGATGCTGTTGCGCTCTCCTCGAAACGGAGCACTTGAGAATAAACATCAGATGGGTTGGCTCTCGCACCTCTCAGCCTGAATAACCTACAGACTGGTTATAGCTCGAATCCCCCAGAGACCGCGTGTTGTTTCCCGCGTGAGTTTACGCGCCATTGGCCACCAATCTTCGGAATGAAACTGCCGCCGTTCAGTAGACTCCCGACGAGGCCTGTTTCACGAACGGCGCGCGAAAAAGCGAGCAAGAAGCGGCACGGGGGGGAAGCGGCCGAGAGAAGGATTCGGTCGATTGGACGGAACAACGCACGCGGCTCGCGCGAGACGGCAGCTATACGATTTCTCGACGCGTCGAATAATCACGTCTAACACACCCGGCGATACGCAAGCGATACGCCGGCTCACGTATGCTCGCGCGCGAATATATTACACATTGTATTCCGCCGATAAACCGCAGCGCTGTAAACGGCGATATTACTGCAAGGCTGAACGCGCGCGCGGTAACTTGTACAACCGACGTTGGGAGAAGCACGACGACGCATCGAGGATATGCAATGGAATTGCGTGGCTGCAGGTACATAGTGGTAGACTATCGGCCCAATCTCGCTCGATGTTTCCTCGCGAATCCTCACGAGCGAGCGTCTCCGTCGAATCTTGTCACGTGATCTAAACGTGAATACGCGGTGTAATTGCACCGAGGAGAGAAATTATTTCGGATACCGAAACCGCGAAACGGTAAGCTCGCGCGGAAACGCGACAGCGAAACAAACGGCGGAGACTCGAGATTCTCGCACGGTATTATTAACGTTCGCTCAACGATCGGTTACTTATGTGCCTCTGATGCGCGGCAAGCGTACCGCGGTGAATCGATTAGACGTCGATGACTTCTACGAATCAACGTTTTGTATGAGAGAAGGCTTGCGATAAAACCAAGCCAGCTGATTCGGTCATACACACGGCGCAAATCAAAGTACCGTTGAGTCTCATCTAGAGTTGCGAGAAGCAGAAGCTTCTCTCTCTCTCTCTCTCTCTCTCTCCGTTCGTCGATTCCCGGCGTCGACTTCGCCGACAATCATCGCCGGTTGCTCCCAGCGTTTAATCATGTTACATCAGTACGACACTCTGACAATCCTATCAAAGTAACGAGGTGCGCAGGTCGGGACATACGTACGGCGTGGGACTCGAAAGTTTCATCGCGATCGATCATCCCTGATTACTCCTCCATACACGACCGCGCGCGTGTATGCCGCCGACTATCGACAGACCATGTACTTAAGTTCTTACATACGAGAGCCCGGCTTCGGGTGTAGATCAAAGGAAATAGCGTGCATTAGTAGTGATCAAGCATTTACTGTCATATGCTAAACTTCAGCCGTCACATTTGATACGCATCGCCTAACAAAAGCTTCCTCTGTAACTTACTGTTTTTCGCGTACGATCGAAATTTCAAACTGACCATTTACACCTGCTACACAATCGCGGAATGTTATTACAAACACGTTTGAACAATTCATTGATCGCATGCGTATAACTGTGAAGTAATTAATGAACGTATTCTCAAGAAAAAAAATTAAAGATTGATGAACATTAAATAAAAATTCATTTACAAATGTACATTGTATAAATCATCCATCTAATCTCAGAGTTTATAAATTATTTTAATCTAATTAATCTGTTGTCTGAATCACATCGTGAGAATCGTAATGAAAATGCATCGCGACGTGAGAAAAATGTGTATTATTTCAAATAATCTGTGCACTAAAATGCCACAGAAATCACCTAAAAATTGCAAAAATTATTATCAATTATTATTGACAGCACTCACTCTTTTGCATCTTTTGCGATTTTTCAATAACATTTCCAGAATAGAAGAGGGTTGTGAAAAAAAGTTAACGCATTGTGGAAAGAGTGGATGTGGCTATGGTGAAAGAAGCTAAAGGGAAGCGAGCGAGCTTTGGACAGCGGGGTCAAAGAGACCGTGGGTCGCGTACCTTTCAAATCGTACATACATAGATATTATGCATGAACAGGAGTAACGATCCGCGGTAAAGTTCACGAAGCAATTCGGTCCTAACTGACTTTTTGTGCGTTGCCATTAGCTTTACGACGCGCGCCAACGTCGCGGATTTACATGAGCCGCACGGTAATAGATCGCGAGGGAAGAAGGTGACGATAAATTTCATATTCTACAGCCGGTAGATTCACGGGCTGTCTCGCCAACGGAACAGACCTGTAATTTAATGCATGTTTTGCGAGACATCCCTTTATGCACTTCCTGGGACACGTCCGTACAGCCAATCAGGTTTTCACGGGAGACGAGAGACGAGCGCGTCTCATTACTGCAGTTGTTAGGCCATTTGTTCCATCTTAATGTAACTTCTTTTTGTACTTCGCGCAATACGGTATGAAAGCTTGATTGAGTACAGTCATAGGTACGCTTATGGTCTAACACGCGGTTGATTAAAAGAGCAAATTATTGCAAATAAATATAAAAAAGTACGCGGCGTTCTAGTGCTGTTTTCAATTTTTCAGAGTTCTTCTCAGTGAAATTAATTTGACGGGACATATGCAAAATTATTACAGCAAATAAAATAAAAGAAAATCGATAAAAACTTTTTTTTGAGCATCGTTATTTTAAAGTACAATATACTATAATTATTATATGTATATGCATTTCTATCTAACTTGTCGATAATCTGATAAAAGCAACTTGAAAATACAAAATAAATCGCATTTATGAAAAAGAAAAGAAAATAGAATATGTTCGCGGTGGTTTGCCGTCCATATCGTTTTGTTTACGCGGTTTTTCGCATAATTTTGAACTACGTCCGTAATCTGCGGATTTAAAACAAAATTTTCAAACTTAGCGTTGTCAGAATTTTCAATATTTCGTTCGAGTATCGGACGAGAACGTCCCATCTCTTTGTGAGAGGGATGGAGCTGTTAATTCCGTAATACATTCGGCTTTTTGTGAGTAGTCATAGAACCGTGGTATAATTGCGAACCAGCAGCAATATATTTGACTGGCAATCGAAAAAGTTGGGAATTTGAAGCCTTGAAAACAGTTATCGATATTAACCTAGATATGACGAAAAAGCAGAACGAATTATGCACGGAAAAACAAAACAGAATAATGCTTAAAAGGCCGCATATTTTTTCTAACAAATAGTTCCTACATTTACCATGTCACTTATCGTTATACTCTGACGCATTCAGCAAATGTTAAAAATACATCTCTTTTAGCGGAATTCTGCAACCGCACATGATTGTATTTTACATTTAAATTCTTTCACGTTATATAAAATTTTTTTTTATACATTTCTAAATAAAAATTTTCTCTTTCTGTAAATATTCTGATAGAAATGTAATCAATTAAAAAGTCAATTTCGTCGTTAGCTCGCAATCAATTTTTATAGCAGTCTCTTTTCATTCTTTTCGTTCATCACGCAGAACTTTATATATGCGGCAATTATATAACTGAAGCATTTATTAAAGTTTACGAAAGTCCACTGCAGTTCCACTGACCATCATAACTCTGTTCATCATCGTCCAATCAATTATATATAGAAACAAACATGAAGGAGATGTGAAATCCTAAAATATACTACAAGAATATCTCCTACAAATCATTAGATATCCTTGTTTATCCTTTAACAGCCTTTAAGCTTTTGGAGGTGCGTTAGAGGCACGCAATACAGGTCGGACGATGGATGCAAGAAAAAAAACTTACCTTTAGGCGAAGATCACTGACGGTCCAAACGCGGCTCGCATAATCGTTGGACGCTCCAAGAATAAGGGTGCCCGTCGAATCGAAGTCCACCGACATCACACCGGCGTTGCTGCCAACGAGGATGCCCTTGTTCTCCGACGTACCTGCAAAACAGAATATTCGTGAACATCATTGTGTCATACCATTACGCAACGATGTTTGAGTTTAATTCTTTGCGTTTACGTGCACCCACATCAATTACTTCGGTTCCCATTGCACGGCCGTTTCGCTCTACACCTGCCTCTCTTCCCCCCCCCCCTCCTCTCACCCCATTCGCCTATATTCCGCGCGTTATTGTCTGAATATGACTAATTAAATTTATGCCCTGACGGCTTAATTGGCAGCGAGCAAACCGCGCTGCAATCCGAAGGGAGCACGTTATAAGCATCTCAAAGCGGGGAGAGAAAGAGAGAGCGGCGAGAGGATGAGCGGAATGAGCGAATGAACGAAGTGAGAGAGAAAATGTGAAGAGACAGGCGGAGAGCAATGAAGAAGCGCGCAGAACAAAGCCGAGAAATGGAGAACGCGTGTATAGATCTAGAATAACAGACCTCATCCTATAAGCGGATATAACCCGTACAATAAGAATGAATGTTTCATCTAATTTGCGAAAGGGAGAGAGAGAGAGAGAGAGAGAGAGAGAGAGAGAGAGAGAGAGGGGCGCGGAGGATTACATTCGAGAGCGTTATGGCATATACGATCGTTATGGTATATCGCGCGCTTCGTTAAATACGATACGGGAAAACGATTTCGCGAATGAGAGCTGCGACGGGCTGCGGCCTTTAGTATGCGTCGCAAGGTTGAGCCATAACGACGCGCAAAGTAACCTGTTGATTCGTTAATACACTTCATTAAGCGGATCGCGGGGAATTTCTCGGGAGAAAAAAAAAAGTGATATCGCGGCCGGTCCGCGAATGGAACGGGGGGGGGGGAACGCGCGCGACGAGATGCCGAGACCCGGAGGCGGGCTGGCTCCAAAACGGGGATGTCGCGGAGCGGAGCGGAGCGGCAAAAAATTTCTTTTACCTCTGATCGACAAATAAATAACGTAAACGTAATACATTTTATGCGCATTAATGTGCCTCTGGCACCCATCGGGAATGTATCGTATAAATCTACCGGTGGAAAAGAAGATTATGAGAATTAAATTACGTATCAGTCCTCCGGAAGGATACCCCGTCGTCGTCACGGTCGAGTTTATACAGGCAAAAACCTTAATTCAGACAAAACCTTAATGGATGTATTACATGCACCGGATGTTAATATATAGACGGCAAAACTGGTGCTCTGTGACGAACGTCTGCGTATAAGTGCAGAACGAACGAGCTCGCATCGACAGGCAGGTCTGTTATTTTGCCGCTCGTAATGAAAATCTCGATTAGAACTGCCCCTCCCGCCCTCCCTCCCTCCATCCCCCCCCTCCTTCCCTCCCCTTTCTCAAACTTTACGCTTCTTTTTCTCGTTCCTCTCCCTTTTCTTTCTTTCTCTAGCGTAAGATTCTAATCTACCGACATCATTCTACTCGCTAAATGGTATCAATTTTACGCACGCAACCTGTAATTAGATCATAAATTGCGTGATTACGCTGCATTATACCTGACGCAAGTTCGCAACGGGGTCGCGTTCACGCGAATTTTCGCGAACGTTCGTCCTTCGGTTCGCAAAAGTTCGAGGTCCCTTCAATTCGGCAACCTCGGTGGGAATGGCAGGAGGTGTTGTTCGTAATGTTCGTTCTTTAACGAATGCGTGGACACGGGGGAGTGGACGCGGGGATGAGGAAATCTGCGAAAAACGTCTCGCGAAGGCTGGCACCATCCGAACGCGCGGCATCACGTTTGACTAACGCCGCCGCACCGCGTCGTCCGCGTCGTGCGCGCCGATCGCCGCGTACCGGCGGCAATTTGAATAATACGACGACCGGTAGATAAACTCTTGGCGGAACGTCATCTCGCCGCTCGCATGCGATACTCGTGATTGTTACGCGGTTCAGGATGTCGTTTACCCGCGTGAATGCTCCGACTAATCGCATTCTTTTGTCCGTACGCATTTTAACACCTTGAATTGCGATTTATGTTCACCCTCACGGCAATCTACCTGCATGTTCAATTCCTTCAACCAACTTTTCTAAAATCTATATCAGATTCCGCAGACCGGACTTTATAAATTAAAGATTAGAATTTGATCAGAATAGAACACATACCAAGATCAGAATTATCTGATTGTCTGTAAAAAGATCAAACTGTCGTTCATTCGTTTTGCATTCATTTTACACATATTTAACCGAGAAGATTAAATAAGATCCTTTAATTAAAATTTTCATAAATATGCACCCTTAATTATTAAAATTTGTTAAATATAGATAAAATAATTTTTATATTCAAAACTTAAATATTTAGTATTTAAAAATCTCGGTAATAAATTATACACCTAAACATTTTTCAATATAAAAACTCTCATCGTTTATTATTATTAAATCATTTAATTATTTAAGATAATAAATAATATGTAATAACAAGGTAATAAGATCTCTATATAGAATTACAATGTCTGTACAATTTTAATTTAATTTCCAATTTAATCTTAAGGCTCCTGACTATACCTGCTTGTCAGCCAAGAATTCCAGTGGCGACATTATATCACGGTAGGAATTATAAAACCTTATTCATCTGCTAAGGCCCATTTTACAATACGTCACATGTCAGTGTCATAAGTCGTAAGCCGTAAGAATTCTACAATATGTCGTATGCCAGTATCGTAAGCAGTAAGAATTCATCAATCACAGTCTGTGATCTTCACAGAGTATGAAGAGAATACTTGATTGTAATTAATCGGTTCTTATTGCTTACGATACTGGCATATGACATATTGTAGACTGGACCTTGCTGTGAAACGTGTTGACAACAAAATTTTGTGTTGCATGCCATTTCGTGTTATTATGTGTTTCATTGAAAATATGGTCTCGTATTAATCGAATTCGTAAAAATGGATGGAAAATAATGCTATCATTTTATATGTAAAAATATGTTTTCCTTTTAACAGCTGTCAAATCATATGTTTTCTTGCCTCAATAGGCTTCACTTCATGTGCCTGTTAGAATTATTTATTGATTGTCGAGGGAAAAAGGACAGTTTCCATCCATTTTTACAAATTTTTTGAAGCGATCCTCTTCTTTATTTCATCTCTTTATTTAAAAATGGCATGCAAGAAATTTCTATGTGTCATTTCTCGCTTACGTCACACTTCCACTATGGCCATGGTGACTAGTCAGGAGCCTTAAATGATATTTTAAATTCTTTCTAAAAAAATACAATTAAGAAATTTAATTTTAAATATATAATATTATATAAAAGAATGAGTCTTAATCATTCTATTAGTTACCTTTAGTAATGTTCCAAAGCTTCACCTTCCTGTCAGCACCACCAGTAGCCAATATTCTATCAGTAGGCGACCATTTAACAGCGTATACTTCCCCCTCATGGGCACTCTGTAAGGTTTATAAATTCTTGATGTATAAGATTGTTAGACATATTTCATGCATTCAATTTATTGCGTAAAATATTAGGTCAACAAATTAAATGTTCAATCGCATTGTGCATGACAATATCACAAGACATAAGTTAAAAATGTCGAAAGTATATAAATTATACGTAACTTGTATTATTTTAAATATCTTGTTTTTATACTCTCACAGCCAAGTGGTTTCACTAGTGAATAAATAATGCGAAAGTACTTGATTATTAAGAATAGCAAACACCGTAAATTTAAACGCCATCTTATATATGCTGAAATTTAAAAACTTGGAACAGATATTTTACAAATATAAATGGAAATTTAATGCTTATTATATGTAAGTTTCCTTTAACTAAACCAACTCTTAAACATTATTATAAAGCACCTTCAACAGAATAATAAATAAAACAGAGACAGAGGAAATGACAGAACTTTTTGTTCAAACTTTGTTAGTAAACTGTCTTGTAATAAAGCTTGAAGCGAAATATACTTCGTTAATTTACACTCATAATTACTTAATGCTCCTCCTATTTTTCAAAGTTAACAGTTTAAGTGCAACAGTAGCAGTAATTGCTTCGCGTGTCATTCTGCATGCATATTCTATATTAAAATATATAATCCAAAAACGAAAAATAAGTTGTACAAATTGCAGTGTGTATAATTTAAAAAATATGAAAAATCATATAAAGATATAATTACATAAGCGAAACATTTTAAAAATAGATGCATTAAATAAAAAATAATGATGACAAACTGTGTGTATGGAGGCTAATAAGTGATTAAGAACAGGAAAATGGAAAGACTGGAGCTCAGGATATCGACTGTCTTAATAAAAGCATCCGGTAATATTTTGAAAATATTTGTACTTAATCCAATCACGATAAAAATTATAACATTATGCATTTTCAATCACATACACACTACATTCTACAAACAATACTGTGTTTTGCGTAAACATATATTTAAAATTTAAAAGAAACTAAACCAGTGTCACTCTAATGTTACTACTCTAGTCTTACATGACTAGAGTATCTTAAATATGTAGCGATGTATGTGTATGTGTTGTAATAACGTATATTATAGTGTAAAAATACAACTCACATATAATAATAAACATAAAATTCACGTAATATATTATTACTTAATCCTTTATTATTATACGTTATTATCTATATATACAAATAAAATGAAGTAATTCTGTTTTAATCTGATTTAACCTCAACTATAACAAACTAATTGATCATTTCTCGATTGGTAGATTCAAGCGTGTCTAATAAATTCATTTTATGAAATTCTAACATGAACGTGTCATTCCTCTGTTGAAAAAAGAAAATGATCATTTTCTAATTTAATTAAGTATAATGTTAAATAAATTAGCTAAAATGACATTGTTGATGTATTGAATATATACATTGCAAAGCATGTACAATACACAGCCTTTCATAGTAACAGACAACGTCACAACCACAGCATGTAACCTACACCACTGTTTACGGTGCAATTGGCTGTAAAAGAGAAACAAATGATCCAATGTTTAGGAAGCATCGAGTGTCAAAATAAATCTGGAAAGAAATATTTGTCTAATTGTCTAAATTAAAATAAAAATGAAGACGTATGTCAAAAATTAAACAATATACCTTAAAATTTTTTAATATAAAATTTATATTGAATATACTCTTATATTCAATATAAAACCATTCATATACATACACAAAGCATGCAGGCTCGTGTTTCATTGTTATTAGGAATGTCAAATACGGATTAATGTTAATGCCTTCATGATGAACACAATATGATATATTTTAAAACCAACGTACAAACGTTACGGATACTTTCGTTGGCACTGCTGTCGGAAGACCAGCAACTTCTTTTAAACTTAAACGATCGGGACTAACAGGTCGCGTGTCTCGTGCTGCATCTTCCAATTCCTTTTGCATCTTTGCCTGTCTCTTCCTATAATGTAATAAAAAACATATACATTAAGCACATGTGGTATCATTAGTATTCAACAAAGTTGCAAAGCAACTTAAAGCGTATATGATAACGGTGATTCTGCGAACTCTTTCACATCATTGCCTTTATGTAAAAAGATTATATTATATGATCCGTTGTTTAAATGTACATTTTATTTTATAATGCATATTTTTATTGATTTTCAATTAAATATTTTTCAAATATGCATTTTAATGTGTATTTTTATTCTTCTGGTATATTTATCAAATATAAATTATAAAATGTCGTATTGTTATACATAGAATGTACATTTTTGCTTAAAATCTCAATATTTCTATGGAAGCATTATGAGAAAAAAAATACAGATCTAGACTATAAAATACAGATCTACAGATTATAAATTTGATTATCTTTTCAAGTTTGTTTTCTGTGATTACAGGTATAGTGCAGTAATTCATATTATATCTTTTTCACCTTTCATTTTGATGTAAAAAATTACAGATAAGATTTATATTGTCTAGTAAATATATACAATTTTCGTATTTTTCTTTTGGATGACAAAACATAAAAATATATTATGTACATGCTGCTAATAAACGCCACCAATAGATAAAATACATAAATCATGAGATATAAAGTGCAGTGTAGTCTATAGCTTTGTCAAATTACCATCCCAAAGCTATTTAGCATTAAGCGGAATGTTCGTTACATTTCATCAGACTTACCCAAATTTTGATAAGGTATGCATCAAAAAGGCTGTTGGACTCGTAAAACTGAAACGAAAATGTCAAGCAGTGTGAAGTGCTTGTGTATAAAGCCCTAAAGTGACTGAATATTGTGTATACTCTGTGAAAAGTTTAAATTAGATAAGTATCTATGGGCTTGTAAAATTTTGTTAATAAATTTATTATTCATACATATAAATTTATATTAAATATTAATATTTGAAAGATTTTTCTGTTAAATTTTATTCATTTATATACATATCTTTTAATAATAAAAAATTTACTATACAATATGGAATGCATATCAGAATAATAATAAAGTTCATATATTTAAAATTCTGTAACATGCATTTTAGCTGTTTTAATTAATAACAATCCAAATTACTTAGGAACAAACTTGAAAAGATTTATTGTACATGTAGTGCAGGTTAAGAGACTTCAAATAAAATAAGTTAAAAAATATTTTATAATTAAATAAAATTGTACTCTCATAGATAATGTAATAACATCCACTTAGTAGAGATTCTATAGAAGAGTAGTGTCGAAGAAAGATAAAGGTCTCAGACGAAAGATTATGTTGCAGGTAAACTAAAACAATCCCTTTATGCAAAACTATACTACAATATACATAAACATATATACAAATACATAAGAATTAAATCAACTAGAGTGCAGAGAAATAAAAGATTAACTTTTAAAAGCTGTATAACTAAGCAGAGATACATTTACTATACTACAAGTACAGGATTATAAATTAGCATGCAAGACTGTACATATTTTCCATCATGTTGCATACAAAGATAGCCAAGAAAAAAAACCACATGTTCAATCAAAATAATATGTTTAATAGTAAAGATGAATACTGCTTTGCTCTTGAATTTCTAAAAACCATTCTATAACTACAAAAATACTAGCGCAATATGCTAGATTTTAATATTGCAAATCAGAATTCATTACTTTATACTTTTCGTAAGTTAATTATACTATTAATAGAAAAAAAAAACGGCAATATGATTTTTGTTCACCCTTATGATATACAATGTTACTTTATATAGGTATACACCTACCTTAAAAAGTTATCATTTTCTTCATTCATCTTTTCTGCATCTCTGGCTTTATATTTTATTAAGCGCTCGATCAACTGTCGATTTTCTTCCTATAAATTTATAAAGCTCAAATAAATGTTACAGTAAATAAGCAATATATGTAAATATCTTTAAGAAACTATCCGATTTCTTTTAACACTGTACAACAAAAATATACGTGAGCATGTAAATTTCTAAGAAAATAAGAAAAAAAATTGTGTACCTGTGTTTTTCTAAGCTTTTCTTCTAAAGATGCAAAAGCGAGTTGCAAGGCTTGGTGTTCATCTTTGAGCATCTGATTAATACCTTCTAAATCTTTCTCTCTACCAAGGCATTTAGTTATTTCTAAACGTAAGTTAGTATTAGCTTCTGAACTTTCTGCAAGGCTGGAACAGAATAAACGGATCAATTAGAAAATCTGATAGATTTATAAAATTGATTTACAAAAATTAATAAACATTGTACATCTTTATGGATAAATGTGATTATAATTTACCTAGCTTCCTTCGCTTGAAGTTCCTTTGTCATTTCCTGTAATTTGTTATTGAGATCCACTATTTGTTGCGTATGTTCTCCTTTCCTTTTGTGCAGCATCGCCAATTCCTCCGCTTGCTTTAGGAGTCTAGCTTCGATATCGGAACTTCCACCCATGCCGATAGCACCATTGGCTGCTTCGCGACGCAGAGTCTCATTAGCAATTGTCAATTGCATATTTGTATTTCGCAATGTGTTTGTATTTTCAAATAACCTATTGTCTGCAAAATACATAGTCAGATTAATTATAATAAAACTGTTTCGTACATGCTAAAAGCTAACAGAATTAATAGAGTTATCAAATTACCAAACTATTAGATTCATTTTATAAAAAAAAAAACAAAATAAAGTAAACAAACAAATAAGGCTTAGAAACAGGTGACAGTATAACGATGGGTTGTAGATAAACGTTAATCGAGTAAGACATATGGTAAACCGCAGTACGGACGGTCCTGCGTTCAAAGTGAGATGCATTGTGGATTGACACTTGTGTCCAACGTCAACTTAACTCGACAATAAAACCGGGAGAAACTTACGCAGGCTAATGAGATCTGCGAAGCAATTGGTTTGCGATCTGTTCCTCTCGCGTAACTGCGAAATTAAATCCTTCCGCCAGTTGACGTCTTCCCGGGCGACGCCGTGCGACACGCCTGCTTCACTCGAGGTCATCTCTCTCGGCTGAACCACGTGCACCGTTGAAAAGCGAGTAATCACCAATGATTTAACCTTAATCAGAGGATCACGATGAAAAGGGTCACACGAATGATGTGCAGTCCACTCCTCGACCGTGTCCGTCACTCCATGACAGTTCCTACGCACGTGCAACGAGTAACTTCGTCCGGTGAAGTCACGTACGATCGTCGGCCAGCGTGTAACGTCCAAACATCTCGCGGCGATCGCGCGACATCGTCTAATCGGGGCGAAATACTTTCAATTGTGAAAACAGATATCCTAACCTATACGTGCCAAACACTATGCTGCTTACTTTGAAATTGTTTGCTATCGCCATGCACATAATCGATACTGCACCACTAGGCTCGCAATCGACGTGAGCACCGCGATATATCGATATACCGAGATCGAGAAACTTCATTCAAACGCTAGAGAAAACGTGCAGTTTAGTGACGGAGAGAATTCCGGGAGTGGAAATTGGTGGAAATGCGTTCCGTTTCGTGCACGATGCGAATAATGATTGATGATGATGTATCGTTTTATCATTGTTGAACATTCAGCGAACAGCAGAGATAAAATTGTATGTGCGTCATGCGTGAAAAGGAACGCACCTCGAGGTGCGTTCGGATTCGCTCCACCTGAGTTCACCCGGGTATCATTAAAGCGCGATTATCAGATCTATCCAGCTAAATTTTTAGATAGCTCAACAAAAACCATTGTTTCGTTTATATTTAGTTAATACTTAATATGTACGTTAATATAGCATTAATTATTAAATATCCTAAAATATTATAATCATTATACGTTCATTTGCGCTTTCATTTATGAATTGCACGCCAAATCTTCTCTAATATATTTATTATATCGAAACGACGCGTTCAATTACCAAATACTGATCAATATTGGGTGAGGATTTGGACGCACCCGGGAAAAAAAGTTCCATATATAATTATATATAATTATATGTAAAATATGTCCATATATGTTTCTTTCCTTTGTAAAATTATTCTTTAATACAAAATTGATAATAATAAGAAAGGAAACATAAAAAATGATTAAAAGAATAATTGTTATATGGTTTTTTTTTTACAAAAATCAAATTTGAAGAAATAAGAAAAATTGTTCATATATAATTATATATGTATATTTTTTAATCACTTATATATGATTATATATAAGCAATTTTTCTCATTTCTTCAAACTAATTTATTTTCTGTAAAAGAAACCAATGTAAAAATTATTCTTTTAATTATTTTTTATGTTTCCTTCTTATTAATATCAATTTTGTATTAAAGAATAATTTTACAAAGGAAAGAAACATATATGGACATATTTTGTATATAATTATATATAATTATATATGGAACTTTTTTTCCCGGGCATTCCTGATTGTGCCCGCGTTTTAAATGGAACCCGTCGGCGCCTCTAGATGCACAAAGCGTGCACGTGAAACTACATATAAGTCACACATTGCGATGTTATCAGATAAAAATTCAGAGATTGTGAAAAATACTTTTACGTTGAAGAAAATGAAAGAAAATATTTTTTCTGCACTTAACTTTAAGAAAGCATATCCTATACATCGTTCTTGAATGTGCGGAAAGTTAACTAGGAGCGGTAAATTTAGTGATGTCACTTACATAACATCTGAAGGCAACTGTAATTTTGAGTAGCTAATGTTAATAATAAAATGTCAGTGTAATAAACGCGACTGAAGAAGAGACAATAAATCTCTTCTCCAAATTTTCGTGCGATTTAACATGCATCAGGTAACTTGCAAATGAGCAATAAAGTTGATTGCGATTGACGAAAAAGGCCTGCTTCTCCGCCTGATTCTCTTCCCATCATGTCCCTTTAAAGTATATTAAAAATTAATTTATTTGTTGTATTAATAACGAAGAGTTGCAATTAAAAATTACTTGTTCGCAGTAGTAAAAATTGTATTATATTGTATACTTAGTAAAGATGTATTATACATAAGCTAAAAATACTAAAATGATGGATACAATATCACCGCAATAATAATTTGTTAGTTAGAATTAATCTTAATTAGGTTAGGTCCTTAAATTGTACAAATACTGTACGTATTGAAATAATTTTTAGTTGCATAATATATACAAACGAGAAAAAAATTTTTGATTACTATAATTAAAATAATATATATATTAAAATTATTTTTTAGAATATAAATAACAAGTTTAAACAAAAATACATAACCAAATTATTTGCTATTTATGAAACATTATGTAAAAAGTTTACATAATTTGCACAATGAAAATTCAGAACAAGAATAGTTGCAAAAACTATTGCAATAATAAATTCAGTATTAATACTTTAAATAAAGCACGGAACAGGTAATTTGATATTATTAAAATTAAATAGTATAAATATACGTATTATTTATATTAATTTCTATTTCAAAATGAGTATAATAATTATACACATGCTGCAATTGTGATAATTATGTATATGGCATTATATGCTTAATACAAATTCGAACCAATTTCAAATAAATATGTATCTACAAATAAAGATATTGTATTAATAAAATAATCGATTTTATAAAAAAATATAATTGGAATTAAACAGTTAATGGCAATTTATATATGATAGAAGAAACAGAAAATATAGAATAGTTAGAAACCAAGCTGGACTCGATGAATATGTCTTTTATTCAATACTTAATACTGATATTGCTATGGAATTAGGAATAGCAGCAAGTGCGGTAAGAATTGAAATAGTTAATAAAATTTTTTACGTAATATTAATGTATTATTATATAATAAGTATAAATATACTAATTTATAAGTATAAATATATAAATATATAAATATATAAATAAATATATAAATAACGTATTTATAAGTATAAATATACTAATTTATTATACATGTTTATTAGGTATATATCTATTTAAAATATATATGTATGAGTTTTAAAATAAATTTTTAAATAATTTAAAATACTACACAATTAATCAAATTAACATGTCTTTTATTTTATTTATACAGATAGCACGTAGTATACTTGCACTTTATAAAAAATTAGCAGCTGATCGGTCAAAGAATCCCTATGTTGTTCAATGGCAGAAAACCGGGTAATGAATACAATTGATCCTTTTTATTGTTTTCTTAATCCAATTGTTTTAATATACATCTAATATCATTTTTTTAAATGTTTTAAGTTAAGCTGTGTGACGTTTTAACACGTATATATAGATTCGAATATAATGTGTATTCTTAAATTATACTTGTAGAGAAAATATGATTGTTTTGCAAGGATACGATCATAAACATTTAAAATATCTCGAGAACGAAGCGAAATTCGTAGCTCTTGGTATACATGCCACTTATCATCGATGGTATCATAATCGCGTAATGGTAGTACTATCGGCATTCGGCCGAAAGGAAGATATCGAGGATATTTTCGACGGACTCTCATATTTACGCTAGCGGTAAACAAACAAAAGTTCTTAATTAACTTAAAACTATATTTTTAATTATTTCATATGCACTGGTTGTGATTACCAAAAACGACATATTTACAATTAAGTTTAAGAATTGAACGTGGCATATGTATATTTTTACACATGAAAATATAATATATAGGTATGTACACTTGCAAATACAGTTGTTATATTTTGTTTATTATCATATCACTCTTCTACATCGATAACAGATATTTGATAGAGAATATATAGTTATAGCTTATTAAAGATATATACGTAAAAGTTATATTTGGAAAAATAATTTAAGCGAATTTATATGATCTTATTCAGGGTTGTGCATCTACGCGTAAAATATAATACTCTACGTTTACGTGTAAACAACGTAAACTATTGTAAAAGTGTCATCTATGTAGACAGTCAGTAGACTATATATTTATTCATTTAATAAATATATATAATTTAACATTTATGTAAAAAAACTACTATTTGAGTAAGAAAAATTCTCTGGTTGCACTTTTAATCTTATAATCTCGTAGTTAAATTAATGTTCAAAATACATCAAGAATATTCTAAAGATGTCGTGGTATCTTTAGCCTGTTCCTATGATACATTTTGAACATTTCTATTGTGGGTAGAGACTGCCTTATAATTTAATTCTTTTATATTCTATATATTAGTGATACAATTTACAATAGTCTACATGGTTTACAAGTCTAAATTGTCTACGCAACAAAAAGACCATGTAAACATCACGTAGATTTCACGTAAATAATCCGTGTAGACGTAATCTTGAAATCTACGGCACAACCCTGGATCTTATTTAAATTCTATAGTGAGGTTCAATGAATCGCTGGGTCACGTTGATCGGTGAACTTACCGACGTGTCTGATTAGTCAGATACGTGTCGATCTGACAAAATCAGACATGTCGGTAAAATCATCGATCTATGTGACCCAGCGATTCATAGAACCTCACTATCCCAAGGGCAGATGAGACGACGCCCGATCGTCGCGATGTGATTGGTTCCTTGAGTTTCTTCAGTTTGAAATTTCTCAAGATCGCAGTTGCGCGATTTGCGCGCCCAAAACGTCAGTGTCGTTAGTTCTAGAAACAATGGAAGCATGCCGGGACGATGCGGTCGCATGCATCCAAGTGTATCTCTGTATCTCTGATCGCTATCGGTATCGTTTAAAAGAGTATCTCGCGTGTGAATACAGCGTGTACGGATGGATATATACATGATGGAATGCAGTGAAGGAATACAGTGAAGGAATACAGTGACGGAATGCAGTGATGGAATGCAGTGACGGAATGCAGTGACGGAATGCAGTGAAGGAATACAGTGAAGGAATACAGTGTTGGAATGCAGTGAAGGATTGCAGTGACGGAATGCAGTGAAGGAATACAGTGTTGGAATGCAGTGAAGGAATACAGTGTTGGAATGCAGTGACGGAATGCAGTGACGGAATGCAGTGACGGAATGCAGTGAAGGAATACAGTGTTGGAATGCAGTGAAGGAATACAGTGTTGGAATGCAGTGTGATGCAGTGTGTTTTGTGTATACGTGTGGATCACGAGCTGTGCTTCGTGTGATGCGTCGGAGTACCGGCGATCCGGAGCTCTTGTGCTCCGTGGAGCATCGACCAAGGAGCTGCCGTTCTAACCTAGCCGTTCTAGGATATTTTGGATGTTCTGCTCTAAATACAACCAGGAATGCCAGGATACGTGTGCAAGGATCATCGCCAGGTAATTTATGCATGTACTGATAATCAGAAATTAAGATCTGCGACTAATTCGTCGAGCTGTCTCAATTTTCAACACGAGAAAAAACGTATACGGCTATCACTGCGCCCTGCGTTCCGTTAATTCGCGATCCGGTGGTGAATTTTGACACTTTCAGGTCGTACGGCGTTGATCCGATGGAAAATCCGATGTCGGATACAGTTTTTTGACAGATAAGGCGACAGATTCGTCAAGTGCGATCCGCGCGATCATAGGGACGCTTAGCTAAATGTTACTGTTCAGTGCAATATGGCAGATGTGCGACAGTTTATTAGGTGACTTTCACGCGATCGTACTACCCACGCCATCCACACAGCGGTCCTTTCGCGAAATGAAAACGCGACATCGATATTATCGACTCTCGAATAGATGCATACCATGCATATATCAATTAATGCGCAAGAAAATAGCTTTCCTATGTATGGTAATATAGTATGTATAAAAATTTTCGCGTGCGACTGAAAAGAGAGAACGCGGTCGGCAAATGTACCGATTGTGCCGTCGAAAAGACGGCAGAAGGTAACATATCTCAATCTCGCGCGAATCGCGGATGGTTAACTGGAGGATATCCACACCGGTCTAGAAGCGTGTTACGCATATACTCGGCGAGCGGAGCGACGAAAGGAGGTAGAGGAGCGTGTTAAAGCGCAAAAGGTTGCGAGCAAAGAGAGGCAGGCGCCACGCCCGCCCCTCCAACCGTGGTTGGAACAGTTGGGTCGCAGAGGGGGCGTCGGAGGAGAACGACTGGCAGTCGGCGCAGCCGCCCGCCGCGTTTTATGCAACCAGTCTTGCTTCGGAGCGAGCGAATCCACTGCTCCGGTCTTTGACGGACGGGGTAACGTGTGCACAGTGCTCTATCCGTTATTGTCCGCCGTCGTCTCTCCCGCCCGCGCATCGTGCGTATACGTAACGTGCGTGTCCGCGGCTCTCCCGGCGAGAGGGACACCGCACACACACATACATACACACACACCACACGCACATACAGGGGGGGGACTCTGCACGGGATCCCGGTTCCTCGGTCGCGCTTTTGAGGCAGGTCACGACGGGGGCCTGCACTCTAACCGAGCCTGGGCGTAATATCGCGCGCCGTCCGTGTTCTCCCGTGCGCGCCGACTTTGCCGGCGAGCGAGGCGAACGAGCGAGCGAGCTCAGCGCGCCACGGAAAGGTGACAACAAGGCGGTGTCGTCGGCGGTGCTCGCCCGATATTGTATCGCTCCGCGCACAGAGCTGCGCCACACGTACGAGTCACGATCGCACCCTGCAGTGGTACAGTGTTGGCTCGTGTCCGCCGACAGAGTGTCAGTGCAACGGCGGTCGGTGGTGTGCTGGCACACGGCTGCATTATCCGCGACTGTGTGTGCGTGCATATGTGCGTGACGTGTGCGTAAAAGCAAGAGAGCGACAGGCCGGCGGCGGTGAACGTGGTGCAAGAGAGAGGGACGGGCGCGACTGCGACAGCGATGCGGCCGTGAATCCTCGATACGTGGCTGCGCTCACGCCGCGTGTACTCCACACGACACGGATACAACGACAACAACGACGACGACAACGAGGACGAGGACGAGAACGACGAAGACGAAGACGAAGACGAAGACGTCGACGGCGACGACGACGACGACGACGACGACGACGACGACGACGACGACGGCGACGACGGCGGCGGCGGTGACGGCGACGATAACAACGTCAACCACGACGACGTTGATCGGGCAACTACGACCGGAGCGACATAAAAAGGCGCGTACTTGCACGCGCTCCGAATTGTCACGCATTCACGTAACCGCGACGCGTCTCCTGACGCGTGCAGGCTCCTAGCTCGGTCGACTCCTTCGACCTCCTCCTCTCCCTCGTCGTCACTATGGCGGACGACGAGGTTCTCTTCGACGATGTTTACGAGCTCTGCGAGATTATCGGCAAGTGAGTAACGAGAATCCCAGCCAGGGTGAGCGAGAGAATGAGGGAGAGAGCGCAAGAATCTGCGAGTTAAGGGTGTAAGGAGGGTGCTGCGCGAGAGAGAAAGCGTGATGCGATTGGATGAACGGCAGTGGGCGGAGGTTACTTTGAGCGTGTTGGTCGCGTGCGTCTATATGTGCATGCGTTTCATCCCCGCGGCTGCGCGTATGTGGTACCCTGCCGAACAGGGAAAATAATGCCCGTGTACGCGCACAGAGACACCTCCCTCCCCTCCGTACACATTGGTGTGACACAGAACGAGTGAGTAACGATGCATATATAGGGTAGGGGCAAGAGATGCGAGAGTCAAGTGAGGAAGACGAGTCAGGCGTCGCGTGTGCGAGTTCCCGTTTGCCTCCAGTTTCCACCTTCGTCAAATTCCACATCCAGTAACTCGACCCGCCACGCATGCTTACGCGGCGAATAAAATTGTATCATTTTCCTGCGTTATTCCCGCGTGCGACGACGTTACATATAAATTGGTATGCTCCGCTTATTAACTTGTTACGCGTTAATCGATATACATCCGAGATATACTGATATCTCGCAAAGTTAATAATGCAACTATTACTTAACGTAATCTTAAACGGCTCCTTATCGCTCGCGATAGACCTTTTTTTTTTATCAGACCTTTAGAACTTGAACTTGTGTGTGGAAAGAATTTTTAAGTTCTAGAGAGATTAGAATCAAGTAATGCAACTGTTACTTAACGTACTCTTAAATGGCTCCTTATCTCGCGATAGACTTTTTTTTTATCAGACCCTTCGAACTTGAACTTGTCTCTGGAAAGAATTCTCAAGTTCTAGAGAGATTAGAATTAAATGTTTTCTAAATTGATGAATGTATAGATGTATGCTTTCAATAAGGTTTTGATGGTTCGTGCTATATCTCTTTCAAAATAAATGGTTTACTTGACATATTGGCAACAGCTCATTTGTCTGTCAGGTCTGTCTGTCGATAAATCATTTATCTGGACCTTTACGTGTTCAAGATAGACTTTTCCAATTTGCTCAGAAGACAAGATTATTGTTCAATTACGAAAAAACATGCAGAAGTGTTGAAATATGCCTTTTTATAAAAGTGAATAAGAAAAATAGACGACTAAAAAATGAAACAATTTAGAGATCTAATAAAAAGTATTTAAAGCTCGAGCAAGGTCTTGAAGAAAGACCTTGAGTTTTTTTCAGATTACATGATAGTTGTTGCATAACTAGAAATGTCTATCTCTGTCACTTCTGTTTAGGAATTTATATTAAAATCTTTAAAGAAATTTGTAAAGAGATTATATCCGGATTGATATAAAGAAAAAATAGGAAAATATGCGAAAAATTTGCACGAAGATTTAGTTAAAGCCTCTAATGATCGACTCTCGTATTACTATGTTAGTGACGATCGATATTGCCAAAACGGTTTATTTAATCTGCTGAAAGACTATAGCTTGAAAAGCAGAGATTGCTGTCACAGAAACGCAATTTCGTTTGTATCGGAAGCCAATACTTGATTTATCATTCAATTGGCTAACCTTCATGCCAAAATAATATATGTCACCAGCTGCAACTAAAGCTGTCACAAAGGCATAGGCTGTTCGACGATCATCGACTTATAACTCGGATTTTATTTTCTGGCTGTCTTAATTATATATAGCTTACAATTATCATGTTACAAACGATACACTACAATTTCATTTTATCAGAATCGACATGAGATTTTAGATATTAATTGAAAAAATTTTAAATATGTTAGGAGCATAAATTAATTACTAACACTCCTTAAAATTACGTAAGATTTTTATTAACTATTGAACATTTGAAAGAAGATGACTTGAAATATTACACTATCTTTTTTCGAAAGAAGAACATTTGTATATGTCGCAATTTAGTAGAATGTAATTTATGAGAGAGAGAGAGAGAGAGAAATTATCATTCAAACATACATTTTTACAGACTTAAAACATATTTATCATACATTTTACTACTCTAATCAGCGTACGATGTGTATCATGTCAAATGTACATGAATCTAATACATAACAATTTATTTTATTTTTATTTCTGTCATTGTAATAGATTTTTGGTAATAGATTTTCTTGTCAACTGAAAAATAACACATTATTCGGTATGCACTTTTCGTATTATTTTTGCTAAAAGCTATTTATTAAGACATTTAATTACATATATTGTCACACGATATTAACTCATTCAAATTTGAAATTCTGATAAATTGATGTCAATATCACAATCTATCTCCATTATGCACATTGAAGATATCAAACTCGCTAATTAAATCATGTTTACAAATTGATCGATCAGAGAATATACAATATACAATAGATAGTTCAATCTTTTAATATTGCGCGCGTGACAATATCATGTAATTAAATGTCTTAATAAATAGCTTTTAGCAAAAATAATACGAAAAGTGCATACCGAATAATGTGTTATTTTTCAGTTGACAAGAAAACCTATTACCAAAAATCTATTACAATGACAGAAATAAAAATAAAATAAATTGTTATGTATTAGATTCATGTACATTTGACATGATACGCATCGTACGCTGATTAGAGTAGTAAAATGTATGATAAATATGTTTTAAGTCTGTAAAAATGTATGTTTGAATGATAATTTCTCTCTCTCAAAAAAAAGGAAAGACAATAAATTGTAGCGTATCGTTTATAACATGATAATTGTAAGCTATATATAATTAAGACAGCCAGAAAATAAAATCCGAGTTATAAGTCGATGATCGTAGGGAACATTTACTTTTTTTTTAAATGATAAATTTTGAAATTATTGAGGTTTGTAAGTAGTAATTAAACAATGTACGATAACGATTTGTTTTTGTTGTCGAACAAATTGGAATTTATTCAATTACATATAATATCAATTTCTTGCTATTTTCAACTGTGTAATTAAGTAGAAACGCTTTGTCGCGTAACAATTGGTGCAGAAACATTTCAATGGGGACAGTTTGAAGAGATCATCCTACATACATATGCCTACATGTGA